GGGGCACGAGGAGGCAATCGAGGACGGCGAGATCACGGTCACCGCCGGAAAGAGGGCCGATTGTGGTGGAATCCTCGGAGCCTTCGCATCCTCATGAGAGAGAGAGGATTGTGGTTGAGGAGGATGTGAGCAGTGTGTCATCGCCTCCCGGGCCGCCGAGACGGAGGAGGAGCTCAGGATATCGCGACATTCGGCCAGGTGAGTTTGCGGGCGGGGATGAGCCGTTGAGGGAGATAAGGAGGTCGAGGAGTATTGGTCGACATGGGGAGTGATGAGGAACGAGGCTTTGTGTGACACGATACGACGAAGTGAGCGATGCATTGTCATGTATTCTGTTGGATGGTCTAGGCTTGGAAATAATGAACTTTCAAGTCATGAAGGTCTGCAACGGATCCGGCTTGTTTCGAGAGATTGGATAAAGGCACGCACTGAGACCCGTATAAGAAATATTGGATATTGTGCACTCCAGACTCTTGGCTGAACACGATCTTGGGAGATTGCCAATACTTCGAGTCCTTAGGATTTCAATCTTGAATATTTCCTGTATTCTCCGTCATGTGCCACATGTGCAGTATGTACATCATGGGTGCGGGGAGTTGTAGCATTCGAGTGGAGTGGGACATTTGAATCGATATTGCGGGTCTTGAGCGCCTCACCTACCTATCTTTCACCTGCTCTCGAAATTTTGATACATACCTAGTATGTAGCCCTATCGACATTGGTAGGTAAATAGGTGGAACATTGCATGTTTCTGTTCATTCCCTGGTCTCGCACAATGTGGTGCTACTGTCGGGCACTGAGTAAACCTACCTACCTAGGTAACGATGGGAAGGGCACTTACATGATTCACATGCGCTGCAATGCAGCTGCCCTATTTAACGGCTCGACTTCCCTTGACACAGGCAAATGCCGACGCCCCTGTCCCGTTCCTGTCGTGCCTAACAGGGCGGCAGATTACCCACCGAGATCCCCGCAATGTGCTGGATTGGCGCCTTCCGACGACCTAACCAATAAGCCCAATTCCCCACCATGTTTTCAATGACATCACCAGCGAGTTGAACCACCTTTCATGTGAAATTTGCTTATCAGTTCATTCGGAATCACCTCCCTATATTCTGCAGGATATACTTACATTATCGCTCATGCCGCTACTCTGTTCTATAATCAATCCAAAGACTCGTCTTCGTATACGACAACTCCAGTGCAACAATTGCAAGTACTACCACACGACATGGAGCATCCAGGTAAGCACCAATTTGGGCTGCGGAAGAAGCAGTACGGGACTCGATGATGATTAACCAAAACAACAGTGAAGGACATCCGCCGAGTCATTGGCACCCTTTGCCAGGGAAGCCCTCAAGAACAAGAAGATACCCTTAGTCGTTACTTTACGCCGTCGGCGTCGTTCGTCCACCCCTTCTGCCGCGTCCCCCATTTTGACAATATCTACATTCCCCGACACGGCCTTCTGAATTCCCGAGAGATTATTCAGTACATCTATAAGTGGTATGCTGTGTCCTTGGCCTTATACCATGCGCCAATATGTACAACCAGGAACAGGCAGACTAAAAGTGTACTTCCAGGTACAAGATTCTGAGTCCCAAGATTGATATCGAAGTCGAATCAGCCGGTAAGTGCATCTCTCCACATCAGCATGCAAACCGCTGCCCTAGATAAAAGCTCGAACAACTAATGAACTCTGCAACTATCCAGTCTTTGACCAAAAATCTTCCCTTCTCTACGTCAACGTCGCCCAAACCTTTTCCATATGGTTCCTCCCCTTTCACAAATCCCCCGTCCGCCTCGTCACAGTCCTTCACCTCGTCCGCGAAGACGAGTTCAAGAATAATCACAACAAGTCCAGAAACCCGCATCGCCGTCTTCTCAGCGAGAACAACAACGTCTTGGCAATACAACATGTTACCGACAACGACTCAGACCACTCAGGCTCCCTAGAAGGACCCAGCTACGCCTCGGTAGCCGCCGGCGACGCCACACCAGAGAAGACGGAGGAGGGAATCCCCATGGCTCACCCACCCAACCCAAGCAACCCTGTTGCTGTTGAGAACGCCCCCGTGGCTTCTGCTCGAGCAAGCGGGGAAGCAGAGAGACTAGTCGACGGTTTCAATGGAGGTAACAACAGCAAGCGGTACCTAATCACCAAGCAGGAAGACTTTTACCAGGTGAATGACTGGCTCAAATTTGTGTTCTCGAGTCCGGGAGCGTGGATGTGGTATGCCATTCAGGTATGGAACTCGATCTTGTGCGTGGTAGGCGTGGTACTATTTGAACCATTGATCAGGGCTATTGGGATTAGGAGGGAGGGAGGCGGAAAGCCAAAGTGGACGTGAGTTTCCGAGGATGTTGAGTCTGTAGCCATATCGGGGAACCCCTCGAGAAATTCTATAAGTGGAAGGGGTGCAAGAGATAAGATTGAGAAGATCCAAGCCAAATGGAAGAAATTGGATGTTACATCACAAACTGGGATGATGAGACACCAGCTGTATCGGTAATACTCAAGAGAGATAGTCATGGACTAATATGTATACTCAAGTTGACTGCATTCCTTTAATACACTGGTATCAACGCAAGGCGATACTAAGGGTAGAGATTTGAGCTTACCATCATCTCGAGTCATGGTACACTGTTCTTCTAACCCTGTAGATGCCTTATACAATTGTGTTCTGTCTCTTTCCCGCCCCTTCTCCCGTACCGATCGACCATCTCGTCGGGACGGTCAATTTAATCCAATTCCTGTACCGATTAAATTCCTGCTTTCGTGAGCTCCAGCCAAGGAACACGTTCGGCCAAATCTTCTATCCGCTGTCACCATGTCCGTTCTGTTCGTATAATGTCGCCTTGTAGACGTAAAACTCCCCGGGGTATCGCTGCGCAGCTGGGGGCGCTTTTGTGCATGCAATGATTCTCAGCAGCCGATAGTCGATCGGTCTTGATTTTGCCCTCATATCTTCCACTCCTCTACTATCGGGCGGTTTGCCACATAAATTCGCCTGAGCAATCAACTCTCCGAGAAAAAGAAAAACGAAAATGATAGAAAATACGTTTTTCCATCTTTTTCAAACAACCTGCTTCTTCATCCACGCAACAGGGACGCAGCATCCCAGAGTAGCACTCTCTCGTCCCAGCCAGCCGACGCGCACCAACCGCCTGCACCGAACAAACACCAATCCACGCCCGTAACAAACTCAGTATGCCTGTTCATAAGGCCCAACTGAGTTCCCGCACGGACAGTGTCAGGCTGGCGTCCGCTCGGTACCGGTGGCTGAACGTGCTGCGGCATCGTGGATCCGTCCGTCCACACGCGCACGCTCATGTCGTAGCTGGCGCTCACCAAGATGTCGCTGGCGTGCGGGCTCCACGCAACGCGGCGGACCGCGTACTCGTGGCCTGTCATGAGCGCCAGGGGACCGCCGGCCGGGTTGCGGATATCAAACGTGCGTATGACGCGATCGACGCCCGCCGTGGCGATCACCGTGTCGTTATATTTGTTCCAGTCGTGCGTCAGGACTTCATTTGGTACCGTTCCCGAGTAGATGGAACCGTCGGCAAGGCGCGAGTAACCCGACCCGCCCGTGGCCGGCGCGTGCACGGGGATCACGTTGGTCAGGTGGTACTTGGCCGATACGGGCGTGCGCAGGTCGAAGATGCGCAGGGAAGAGTCGGCGGAGACGGCGGAGACGAGGGCGGGGTTCGAGGGGCAGTAGGAGGTGCTGTAGGTGCAGCAACCAATGGGGAGGGTCTTGAGGGAGGCGTTGCGCGTGGGGGACCACTGAAGACAAAGTAGGAGGATTGTAAGCCAGCGCGCAAGTCGATCGGCCATGATGCTACGATGGTAGTAGGTAGGAGGAACACAAGAGATGAGCACATACAACTTTGACGGTGCCATCCCAGGAACTCGAGATGAAGCTGTCCTTGGTGACGGGATTCCAGCAAACCGAAAACGTTTCCCGCTTGTGTTCGTGGAAGTTCATGACAGGGAAGTTCTCCACCCCCAGGTCGAAGAGCTTGATGGAGCCATCGCCGCAAGCGACAATGAGCTGATTCTCGTTGAGCTCCGACCAGGCAAGATCGTATTGGGCATCGTTTGTCTCAAAGGTCTTTTCGCACTGGACGCCGGCTGCGCTCAGGCCCAGGCAGAAGAGGCGACCGTTGCCGACGATGCCATAGTTGGCAGCAGTGGCGACAGCAAGGCGTGAGTCGTAGTATGGGGAGTACTTGACGGCGTAAGGATTGTAGCCCGGGGTACGAAATTCCAGCATGGACGCCATGTTGAGAAACGTGGGCTTGTCATGTGCTGCCCATCAGGAGGTCTCTGTAATAAGGGCGCGCGACCTCTTCGCCGACGTGAGTGGTGCACAGCCTGATGAATCTGCCAGCGACGGTCGTGAGATGAGGCGTTGCACCTGGAAATGACGGCGACGGCTTGGACGTATCGGTGGGTTTTGGAACGGGCGTGGGGTGTAGGTGTTGGCAGAACTCACTGTGACGGGATGGAAAGCTGGTTGGAAACTAACTGGGGAACGCCAAACAGCGACAAAGCCGTGGGGAAAGCCTCGGCTCGTCAGCTACACTACATACTACACTAGTGGGGTACCCCGGAAGCCCGCCTGGCATCCATCTGGTCGGCACGTTGCCCCTGCCGCGGGGGTGGAAGCCCCGGGCCGTAACGGCGTCAGCCCCACAGTATGGATGGATGTGCTCGCTAACTCTTTAGGGGTTAGCACCTGCCCATGACGTCGCCCCAGGTTACGTAAAATATAGTGTACACTAGAAATAAGTACCGACCTGTCCCCGTGACAGCGCGTCTTTGGCCACTTTCAATCACGTCCCCTCCTTCCTCTTCGCATTAAGGACGCGTCTAACATTACAAATCCATGTTCATTTTTCCTCCCACGCGCATCTAACCAGCGTGAACCCGGCCATGGTGACAGACACTCCAACATGTCGAGATTTTGTACTCCTTCCTCTAAGCCGTGGCAATGGACAGGTTCATAACGAGGGGGAAGAGGAAAGCCGAGTCGACGCTGGAGGAAAACGTGGACACCACGCAAGTAAAGCAGACTATCACCGCCTTGTATAATCCCATTGACAACACTCCAGACGGTGATGGAGAATCAACCGATATCAAACTGGCCATACTTGCTTCATTGCATCCAGACTTCGGTCCTGATGCATTACTGGATCTTCTAATCGCCCACGATGGATCCGTGGAAGCCACCACGGAGGCTCTGAAAAGCACCCAGGGCGCAGGGCAGATAGCCAAGAAATCGTCAGGTATCACTTTACAGGCTTCTTTACGCTCTTTCGCCGTTCCGGCATCTACCACCGGCGATGGCGACCATGGCGGTGCTAGTACTATCCCCAAGAAACCCAAGCTCCTTTCCCGGAAAGGCGCAACACTCCATCTCTACGACCCCTCCGACATCAGCACTCACACCCCTTGCACCGTCATCCACAACTTCCTCCCCCCTCGGTCGCCAATAGCCTCTTGGTAGAGCTCTTGGAAGAAGCCAAGACCTTCGGCAAAGCCACGTTCAAGCTCTTCGATAACGTAGTCTCCAGCCCCCACACATCCGGCTTCTTTGTCGGGAGCGATTACGAGCTCGCCGAGCAAAAATCGGCCTACTTCTACAACGGCGCGCGCCTCTCCGATATCCGCCGCCTGACGCCTCAGCTGGAAACAGTGCGGCCGTTGGTGCAGGACGCCGTTAATAACGAGATCCAGCAGCGCATTCGTACTCACCACCTGTACGGCGGCAAAAAACTCAAGTACCAGTCCCCCGACCGTTGGTCGCCCAATGCGGCGTTTGTGAACTTGTACGATGGCCCGGAGCAGAATGTCGGCTGGCACAGCGACCAGTTGACTTATCTCGGTCCGCGGGCCGTCATCGGATCTCTTTCGCTTGGCGTGGCAAGGGAGTTTCGGGTGCGGAGGATCTTGCCCAAGGATAAGGACCAAGACGGTAACTCCTCCAGCACCACATCCAACGCCAACCTCGACTCCCTAAACGAAGGTCAAATCTCCATCCACCTCCCGCACAACTCCCTCCTCGTCATGCACGCCGACATGCAAGAGGAGTGGAAGCACTGCGTGACGCCAGCGCAGGCCATCGATCCACACCCGATTGCGGGCAAGCGACGCATCAACGTCACATACCGTGATTATCGGCCCGAGTTCCACCCGCGGTACACACCGCGGTGCGCTTGCGGAATCCCTACGATTCTGCGGGTGGTGCAGAAGAAGAGGGAGAATTGGGGCAGGTATTTCTGGATGTGTCACGCCGGAAATCAGCCGGGCAAAGAGGCCTGCTCATTCTTCCAGTGGGCAGAGTTTGATGATGACGGGAGGCCGTTGTGGAAAAAGGGCACGGGCACTAGAACTGCCGGGCTAGAACTTGATACAAGAGAGTCCGCTCAAGCACCGCAGAGCCCGGATATGGAGCAGTAGTCATCAACAGCGAGTCCTGAACATGCCCCCTCAGTGAGAACAACACAACCGATGGCAGAACAGCCATGGCCGTCGGACACATAAGAGGGCATGGTTTCCTTCATAGACACTTGGAATGAATACACTTTTTACCATGTACGTATGGATGCTTCCCTTCAACGTAAACCCGCCTGTCTTTTCATAACCACCAAATCGGCCATGCCCAACGTCCCGATTGCTTCTCCTTTTCCTTGTCCTTGTTTTCACGCGCCCTTTCTCCCCTTTCCGTTCCTTTCACCCCCTTCCCCTGGTCCCCTCTCTGCTTCCAACTACCGGTACTGCTACCTGCCCTGTCATTCAGGCTTCCTCCTGCACCTCCTCCATTTTCGTATTTAGCTGTTACTGCTGCTACTCTACTCCGAAGCTTGTTCGGTCCATTCACACTGCCGGCAACTTGACGAACACGGTCAATGCCGAGAAACCCTCCAGAACCATTTTCTACTCGACTCTGTCGGTTATTCCGCGACGGTAATGTCTGCATCGTGAAGCCAACATCCCTACCACAGGACTCAGTGTCTCGAGGATCTTGGTCGCTATGGCCACCATCATATCCTCCTCCCCTCCCGCATCTTGTTGTTGCTCTTATTCCTTGTCCGGCTCTGCTCCGTCCTGTGTCAAGAAGACCAAACTCCATGGCCTCAAAGTCAGCAGGGCTTGCTTTGCGTGTGGTCATAGATGAAGTTCGGCTTAGGCATGTTGTTCTAGACACTCCTTCTGGAGAGGAAGAAGCGCCAGGAATAGAGAGCCGTGGAGGAGGGGGCGATGGCTGTTTTGCACTCGCTCTCCGCCTGTACTGTCGAGAAGTTGCTGCTGTTGCAATTGCCGATGATGATCCAAGAGATGGAGAGTATGAATGTCGTGACGGCCTTACGCGAGTCCGGAGACTGTCAGTACCTTGGTAAATCGATTCGTTCGTCTCCGGGCGTCCGTTATCGTCACTACTGCCGCTGGCGTTGATACAGTTGCCCTCATTCTTCTTTATTATACTATCCGTACTTCCACCGGTTCTTGGTGTGCGCGTGAACTGGAAACAGGCCAAGTTTGTTTGATTAGAGTATGAGGAGCGTGCTGATACTGGTGTCACTCTCTCTTTCGCATCACTCAACATTCCGTGCTCATCATGTTCAAGATGCTGCGATTGGTAATCCCCACCCTTATAGGCTTCAGCAAAAGAGATCGATGCAATTCTGGAAAGGCGTCCTACAACAGCCTCATCGACTGTCCGGATTTCGCGAGTCACTGATCCGTGCGCATGAGTGTTGGCTTCCCGACCACAATAACCGTCTGCTTCGGCAGCAACAGAATCATTTCCCGACGAATCTGACTCCTCACCTGGAAAAAACCAGAAGTCTTTCTTGAAAGACTGTAACGTGCCCTGTTGTTGGCTGCCACGGCCTCCTTCGGCATCCGACAAACTGGGAGCATGCGTCCTGGTATTGAGGCTCGTCTGCCGTATTGGGATGAGAGGCGCTGCACGTGTAAGCGGAGTGGAAGGTCTGACAACATTGTCGCTCTTTAACTCCGTTGCTTTTACATTAGTCAACCTTGCTGCTGGCCTCTTTGCTAACCGAATGGCGAGTGCACTCTGGCCTTGTCTCGGTATACCAAAACGTATTTGAGCTCTTGGGATCAGATTTGTATCTTGACCAGAAGAGATGGAAAATGCACTACTTGTGCCGCTAGTGTCATATGAATGGACAAGCAGAGGCGTTTGCTGGAAATTCCTTGCCCTTCTCTGTGGGCGTGAGGACCGCGAAGTGAGTATGCGGTGTATTACATCACCTTCTGTATCCGCGCCCCAATGCTGTGCAATAATTTCAGATAATGAATTGGGCTGTAGCACGTCGCGCGGCGACCAGAGCGATGATGAACCTTTTCTTTCAATGGCAGCAACCGCCGTGGTCTCTACCATGGTCTCCTGGCTCACGATGCCGTCCATCATGTTGTTGCGCAACAGCCCTGTTCTCTGCGAAAAGCCAGAGTGCTGGTACCTAATACGGACCTGTAGGAAATCGAGCTTGGTACCTCCCAAATGGTATTCAAGATCTTCAATGAGATCATCGGAACTCTGTCTCCTGTGGCGCTTACTTCTGCTACTGCATCGAAGGGCAGTAGGAAGTAGTCGAACATGCACCAGCAGGAGTAGCCTCGAGCCAAGATAGAGAGTGGTCCTTGTGTTGAAGGTCAGATTCACAAAAAATAGACTTTTAATGGAATTCAAATTGGATCAATGTTAGGAGTGAGTCTTGAAGGGCGTATACCTTGCGCATGCCTTGTCGTCTATGACTTCAATGATCTCGCTGTTGTCTGTGGGAAGTATTCCAATCGACAAATTGTAGAGACAACCGTATTCTAACGCATCTGTACGTAGAAGGATACTATGGTCAGTACGTTTCAAATTCACGGACGAATTCCTCCGAGACATTGCCTGGCATATAATGGACCTGTCGATCATACCTGGTGAGACTGGGCTGTCATTGTAATCATCTCGCGCTTGAGGGGAAATGCTAGACTGATGATTTGGTGCGCTGAAATGGCTAAGCTGTGTTGAAAGCTGCACCGCCGCCTATAGCGATGTAATTCCATTCTCCAGAGCTTTGATTTCCGGAGTGACTATCACTTTGGGCACGAGCATGAATGGCTTTTCCGCAAACTGACCAGCCGAGCCCGAGTGCGAGGCGCTAGAGCAGCGTCGTTGTAATTTTTCTCCAGTTTCGAGTATCGAATGAGAACTTTCTTCTCTACAACTTGCAATAGCATTGCCGAGGCTTTGCACGTTCAGGTTGAATACACTCTGAGAACTTTGAAGGCGTGGTGATGATTGACTTTCCTCTCGTCCCAGATTGTAAGCCATTCGAGATAATGGAGTCGGAGTTTGAGGCCTAGATGTCTTGGCACAAGCAGCTAAGATTACGTTTTTCCTGTTGCCGCCCCTTTCGCGCTCGCTTTTCAAGTCTTTGTGGTCCGTAATCAGCTGCCTGGCTCTTTGAAGCAGGAAATTTGGGCTTCTGGTCGTTTTGCAAGGCGACGGGCTCATTCGAGGACGCTGATTACGCAGACTTGTACAAGAGTTGGTTCTGTGGAACTCGAATGCGAGATCAGAAACTCTATTGTGTTCTATAATCAGTTAGCAAGTCTGACCATTGAGGCACCATTTCAGATAAGCGTCAAGGCATTCTGTATGCTTATATCGATTCAATGAAGAGGCCTTGGTCCGCAGCAAGTCACTTACGGTTCGACTGAAAGGTATTGACGGTGATCACTGGTTGACAATGCTCATACCCTTCCAGAAGGTTGGCCGTTGAAGTAGAGGCGTGCTCAAGTGCCTTATTCTCTCTGGTCTTTGGCACAGCGAGGGATGTGTTCCGCCCTGGTGGCTCTGACATGCTGTCCATGCTTGCATCAGACTTAAAGCTTCCAGCGCTGTCATATCGTGTGGCCGATGGCGGCTGGTAACTTTTATCTGTTGTGCTTGAGCTCACGGAGCGCTTGACGATCTGCAGTGGCTTCGGTACGACCTCGTCCTCAGCAGAACGGACATATCGATGGTTACTTCGGTGATTTCGCGGAAAGGATCCGGTCATGTCGACGGTAGCCGTGGCTGACAGGCACGTCAGCAAGAGTTTTGGACGCAAAGCGGTACCGAGGTGGGATTCTGAACAATGTCCACGGTCAGGCACGGTAAACTTGCTGAATAGACGGCTTGTGTACGGCTTGCAACTGGTATGGTAATGAGAAAATGTATCCGAAGTGTATTTGCAAAGATTACTGCTAGTCATGTACGTCGTTCTTCCACCCAACGTCGAACTTGGATAACACCCAACGTCGAACTTGGATAACACTCGAACTGTCTGCTCTGATGATGTCCGGGTATATTAGGATTAGGTTAAGTTGGGTTTAGTTTCAGCGCTTGGTGGTTTTGATCAAGGCCCTCTGATCTGCTGTCATCGTCACGTTCCATCTCCTCGAAGAAAGCGAAGAGGGGAGGAACGCCTATTTCGCAGTTGCTTCCTGAACCAGTTTCTAGTCCCTGCAGGTTCCCAGGGAAAGTACTACTTTTCGCGAAGCAAGGTACACAGGAACTTGCACTAGAGCTGTGGAACTCCTTCGGTGGTAGTCACTAAAGTATAACACCAAGGGTCCTAAGGAGGTTTTGTTTTGTTCCTTCGACATCTGCTTCCTCCATGCTGATGAAATTGATCTGTCGATACACCCTCGTTAGCAATAGCCCATGATTTCAAGGCTAGGAGAATTGACACAACGTCGTTGACTAACCACTTCATCTGCCGCCCCGGCGTTTCCAAACAAGACCGGCTCTGACAAGCTTGTCGCGATACCTCTCTTGACCCTCTCTTCCCAAACACCGTCCCAGTTCCACTCGTCAGGACGCTTTGGTGCGGCCGATGTCGTTGTGGCTGAACTTGTCTCCGCATTTCCGCTTGGTGTAGGACTTGTAATGGTCTCATCTATTTTGATCAAATTCGAGTCCGGATCAGACTTTACAGAAGCGGGAGAAGAAGTCACATTGGCAGCCTGTTGTCGCCGATGAGTGCGCCACGCATGCCAGGCGCCCGGATTGCCAGCCGCCTCAAGTGGGACTGAGTCAAGAACGTTTGCATCATCAAAGGTGCTACGGATGTACCGGAGAACCTCGTAGGTTGAAACGTCCCGCCTGGCGGCTGACCTGCTGCAGTCAGAAGCCACATCTGCGTTGCCTTCGGTGGTAGACTCCGGCGTCCCTTCCGTCCCTCCGCCATTCTTGGACCCATCTTCGGATCTGTTCCCGGTCTGGACCTTGCGAGTGTCCGGTGGGGGCGTCATCTGTAGAGACGCAGGCGGCCTTCCTCGTTGATCGCCACTACCACGCTCCCCACGGGACCGACTGGCCCTACCAAACCAGTGCGGGAAGCCATGACGTAGACTGAAGCCTCCGGGGGGGAGGCGCTCCTCATCGGTGGCACTGACGGTACCGTTGTGCTGGACGTCGGTGCTGTACATGTACGTGGTAAGAGGCGTGATAAGGGGGTGGAACATGTCTGTGGAGAAGGTAACCAGGGGCGGCAGGTTCGGATACGAGTCCGGGAAGGAGACCTGGAAGCGGAGGACGGCGTTGGCGTATGGACCTACGGAAAGAACCGAGACATGAGATGTCAGTACTTCTACACACTCGCTTTCTCCCTCCATATCACCAACAAGGCGGCTTGGCTTCTGTCCATCTCTCCATTGGACTGCCTGACTTGGGCCTGCCAATAGTGATTGCGATGAAATTACCTTTGCGTACGAAGATCACGCCCGACCACAGATTCGGGTCACCGGGCGTGAGACTGACGAAGACGCCATTTGGACATGCCTGTTTGAGACCGGCACTGTGTGAAACCGTGGTCATTAGCCCGCTGACCCTGTTGGATGAGCTTCCACGAACCGGCCCAGTTTCCTGGTGGCTTGCGTGCTGTGCTTGGGGCTTTGTATGGTACCTACAACTCGGCAAGGAGATGCTGCCGTCTAACGGCGGGCAGGTTGCCCATCCGAGAGAATGGCATGGATGTTGTCATTGGCCTCGGGGGAATTACCGTGTTACCCGGTGGGAATGTTGACCGGGATGGAGGTTCCTTTCGTCGGAGAATGTTTGTCCTGTATTTGGACACACAACTATGCGCGGGAGGGGGTTCTCGTCGACAAGGACTTGTGAGGAATTCTAGGTCTAGGTTTGTGAAACAAGAAAAACCCTGCAGATTCCAGAAGACGATTGAACGGAGAGTCCTTCCAGAAAGTTTTGAGCAGGCCGAATAAAGTGGCGGGGGTGTAGAGGTAAGGTGAGCGGTTGTGAGGCGATCGAGATGGTGAGGTTGACGCTATGGTCATGGAAAGATCGTCTGCCCCTGACGGTGAATGAGACACTACATACCTCTGTAGCGGGTGCTCAGGCACGAAAAGCAAAGAGAGGGGTTAGGGTTATGGATGATAATGCAAATGTATTCCGCATACATATGACACTGTACTGCCGGGTACTTCCCGTACATTGGCGCTGCAGTGTCTTTCAGCGAGCTGTGGAGATCTCCCGCCGGCACTGTTCGAGTCGACAGCACTCAGACATAGGCAGCGGAATTTCTTCCGTGTCTTTGTCAAGAAATCCATCCTAGGCTAGACCACGAAACATGAAAGCATCTGAACAGACCAAGGAACAGATGGGAAAATTTGGGTTTGCCAAGTACATTCGCAACCAAAGGACTTCGAACGTGACAAGCGCAGCAAGGCGCCAGGGCTTTCGGGCTTCCCGTCTGTACTGCGGTTGCGAGCAAAAGTTTTACCTCCCTGTCAGGTATCTCACACAGACCACCACAGCTAACGCTTCGTGAGCACTGTGTGGTCAACGACCTGGCCCATGGGTTTAACTTACCCATATCACCATTGTAGTATAGTACCTAGGTACCCATGCTCCATGCTACAGGTCGACCGGCACCGGTACGGCGACATGAAGGACAACGACAGCATTGGTATTCATCCTTATGATTTTACCAAACCCTGGAGGAACAATCACAGAACGCTAAACTCCCGTCCACAGAAGCACTGTGCCTTACAGACAGTGCCCAATGTCGACGCTAGATGGCTTCGAGGCTAGACGGGAGTCTTAGACGGACGGCTTCTTCGATCCGAGTGGACAAGAGGGGAGCCTCAGGAGTCGTCGGCAGGGAAGACCTCCGTTGAGGTAGGTGGATCCCCGAGTACCCGGGCCCGTTCTTGCCCGCCTTCCATCCAGGAGGGTGGCCCGAGGGCCAGGTCGGAATCTCCGCCTACCTAGCTCCACGTGTCGCCAAAGTGGGTCGAGGCTCCTCCTTCTCCGGGCTCCTGGGCATGGAACTGGGTCACTGGACTTCGCATTCGCAGACCGCAACCCACCCGACCACGGCCGGACAAGGAACACTTCACCACCTCCACTTTGCTGCGCAGGCACCGCACGCTAGAAGGATATTGGATCACAAACTTCCATCATGGTACACTCCGGCGACTGGGTTAACCTTGAGCTGCCAGCGACCAAGACCACAACATGTGTTGAGACCCAAACACTGAGCTCGGCGAGATCCCCGGATCCAACCAAGGCCAACCAGCCAGCCACCGGCTTAGGACCCGACCGGCCTGTTATTGTCGTTGTCTTGAAACCCCACCTCTCTTTTCTGGTCTTGTTGTTGTTCTGTCACGGCTTTGTACGATAGAGGAACCCATCGAAAGGGAAACGCAGCGAAGTCGGCCACCACATCAGAAAGAAGGCAACCTTTTGCCTTGCCATCCACCGGCCATCTGGGCCCTTTCGCTCTCCTTGACCGCCTCTTACAACAGCGCACTTTACACAACCCACGGCTCCATAATACTGTCGTCATACCATGCTGAAGTAAAAAGTCCCTTTTTTGTACACAATGCCATTTCCAATTCCCAGGTACCATCTACCAGTACAACCTGAAACGGCGGCCTATGTAACATCACCATCCTATCATACACACCGTCCGTGTACGGAGCTTTTCTACTCGGATCCTTATGCAATTTCCTCGCTTCAAAGAACCACCGAGTCCATTGTAGATACCCCTACCGCCTTGCACACCCTTGCTCATGAGGATACTGTACAACTACCCTTATAACGACCAGTCTGTATGCTGTCATGAATACGACGTGCTCGAGCCCGTGCGGTGTCTTCGTATACAGCAAGCAAAACCATTTAGCCTGAACAGGTGAGCAGATGACAAGACCCGGCGCAGCTTCGCGAGTTCCTGCCCATAGCCATTGCAAGAAACCGTACGAAAGCCGGAAGATGTCAATGTGTCCGTCGGATGGGGAAACAATGCGTCCGCACCCAAGAGCTTGCGCGGTAGCTTAACGTCTGGACCCAAGTCGGGCCTCGATCTTGGTACGTTCTTGCTCCTTGAGCTGGGCCAACTCTTCCCTGGAGGCGTCGTAGCGCGCAGTCACCTGATTGAAGGGGTTGTCTGGGTGCTTCTCGAACTCCTTCTTGATCTTCTCCTTCTTCTGGTTCAGGCGCAAACCTTGGCCACTGCCGTCCTTCTCCATCTCTGCAAGTCGTCGTTCCTCAAACGCCGCATATGCTGCCTTGAAGCGTCTCTCGGGATGCCGGTCAATCTTGTCGACGGCTGAAGATGTGGTTAACGACAACGCATCCAGAGCGTTGTCAATACCCGATGCGTTAAGAGTCGCAAGAGGGCCACTGCCGTCATCGTCCAGCTGTGACAGGTCAAGACCCCTTGTCTTCCTGACCGCCGTCTTTGCATTCTTGGGTTGCGTACGCCCCGGGGTATTCTTCTCTTCCTCCTTCAGAAGTGCCTCTCTCTCTGCCTTCTTGCGCGCCGCCTCGGCCTTTTTCGCGGCTTCGGCCTCCCTGTAAGATAGCTCGTGGTCAGTACCAATATTCGGGTCAACTTTGTCGCGAATGTCTTAGTCCATCTGTGCAAATGTGCGCGCTTTGCACGTCGCCATCGGACTCCTCCACTCTCCCCACCCAACCAGCGATATGTCTTTCCTGTACTGTAGGGAGAGCGCATCGAAGGCAACTTTGCAGTCGCGCAAGGGCCTGTGATAGTGCACACTGGATAAATGAACCAAACGGAAGCCCGCTAGACATTTGACCAGCATCATATCATGGTGGCATGCAATGCGACGCCTCCACAAGGTTGCACAGAGGTCCCGCGGACATCTTCCGATAGCGAGTCGGAACGCGTTCCTGACGGAGGGAAGTGTTTGTGTAGGGAATGGCGAACAAGGGTAAGGGTGTCTCGATGGACAAGGCGAGACTTTGAAGGAATGTAGGGGCCGAGATATGGAGGCATGAGATGTCGCACGGGGACACGGAGCCTGCTGTTGAGCGAGGATACAGCCCCCTCTCCTCATGTAGCGTCGGAAGGCCGACGACAAGGGCCAAAGAACGGACCGGTAAACAAAATCGGCAGAGTAACGTGGAACCGAACACTAGGCTTCATGTTGGAACTTACTTCTTAGCGTTGCTTTTGGCTCCCTTATCCCACTCGGCGGCTTCGGCAGCGGCCTTCTTTGCGTCTTCGGCAGCAGCCTTCTGGGCCGCAGCGTCGGCCTTGCGCGCCTGGCCGGCCGCCTTCTTGCTATTGTCCTGACCCTTCTTTCCAGCCATCTTCTTTTCTCGTGTTGTTTGTGTTCGAATCCTTCACTGTCTTCGAGACTGTCGGTAGCCCGGTCCTAGCCTTGTTGGGTTGCGCGGACTGGCCGATGGGATCAGCACTTGGTGTGGTTGTCTTGGTTTAGGGGCGGCAGGGTTATCGAATTTTTGCGCGTATGGGCGTGACGACTAGAATACGGGCTAACTATCGTCGCGGTTTTAATCTGTTCGCTGGCGAGTGTCTTGCTGTTGGTTTTTTAGTGTGTGTAGGTCTCAGCCGAGATGGATCTACACAAAGCAAAGTTGGATGTCGAGTTGTCGACGTCTTCCTTAGTCAGTGTGGGGTTAAAGTCAAAGGTCAAACAAAGCCAAGCGCGCAATGCTGCTTGTGTGTAGTGTAGAGCGCGTTGAGGGGGGTGACATTTGCGACTATAGGTGCCCTTTGGTGGGGCCAAAGAACCACGAGGCTCCAAGACATTCCGTCCATGCCGCCTTCTACTGTGACGTATTCGCCGGATGTTACTTGCGGTACAGAACCGAAACGTACCTGCCCGGTAAAGCAACCTCCTCTTGCTTGCTCTGCATCACATTCCCATCTCGAACGGCCCGAATATTACAGTCGTACGGCAAATTACACACACTGAGTCTGATAGCATCCCAGCAAACCTAACATGTGCGAACCTTCAACGCGATACCACCTGCTTGCACCTGCCCGTACCAACGAGTGCTCTGCGTTCTTGTGTGAAGCTTCAGTTCCTATCGATACAATTTGTGGAGCGTCTTTTTGAATCTATGACATCGTCCAACTTGCCTTAGGCGCAATGATGACTTGAGTTTGTTGATGTCTGATTCAAGTTGGTGAAGTTATCGGGACAATAGGAAGACAGAACACACCGCAATCATCAGTACCAGGCCAAGCTAACACAACCACGATTCGAACCAAGGCTGACGATGAGCGTCCATGGCATAATATCACGACGCCCGATTGTATGAGTGCAGTGATCTCATAGGTTATGGGCCTTGCGCCGCAGAGGTCGCTCAGCTTAGCCATCAAAATGCCGTCCACCATCTCCGTGGCTTGATGGCCTCGCTGGCCTAGGCTTAGGCTGGATGCGATGCACAACTTCTTTTGCCTAACCAAATGTTGTTGAAGTTGAAAGTTGACTATGTACACCTCCTTTAAATTTCGTACCACCTCAGCCTACCATCGATGCTGCGCATTTAGTGAGGAGTCGGAGAGGATCGGCAAGGTCCACCCCCACAGACAAACACCAATCTACCTAGGTACCTATTGCATTGGGACCATACGAAAGGTTTCAACAGTGAATGGTGTTCTTTCCCTTTCCTCTCAAGCATGCATTGCCGAGGCGGAGAAAAGCCTCATTTCTTGCCGGTCATGGTCTAATATCGGATGATTTCCTCAGACTTGAGCCCCATGGGCTGCCCGGATCTTCTCTTAGCTTTCTGTAATTTCATGATTTCATGATGTTCTTGTTCGCCGAGGCTACTGCGCTCGCGCGTCTTCGCGAGAACAAATATTCAAAAGGCCGTACCTCCAAAAGATCTCAATTCAATGGTTCAAGAATCTGGATATAATTGAGTCTGGGCGATTCGAAACGTCCACATTAATTTCTCACCCGCTTCTCTTGAGGTCCCAAGATGAATACAATTTCCTCGGCCATTACCTGCAAACCTGATGTCTGTGTTCTTGAAACTTCCTGACCCGAGCTGTCTGACCTACGATGGTGCCATGCTACGGAGTCATTGAGTCGACAGCTAAGATAGTGGTGATGTAAGGATGTACCTCGGGCGGTGTGCCCGAACCGCCCATGTTGGGTTACACAGGCACAACAGGTCACAGCAGCAGTGGTTACCGCACACCAATGAGAGTAGAGTCTGAGGTGGTCTCTCCTCGAACGAGATATTGGTTTGGGTGAATGCATCCCCGAACTGCGGGTATAAGACGAAAAAAGTTAGATCTAGATACCTAGTTAGAAGGCAAGGCAGTAGGTAGAGGTACCACCACCACCTAGAACCATAACGTTTGTTGTCTTCACTGGTCTGATTTTCAGTTCTTATCCTATGCGAGGCTTGGTTATCATCATGTCATTCAATGCAGTTTGATTCAACCTTATGATTTGAAAGTGGAATCACACGAGACATCATCTAGTTCGTCAACGTCAGCAAACCCCTTGTATTCTCGTATATCGATGTCGAGGGTTCTTGTGCAGTTTGCGCAGGTGTCTGGCGCTGTGAAATTGACTTTGTTGGTGGGTAGTAATAGCAGTTATCGCTAAAGGTAGGGAACTTGAGATACCCTGTAGATCCCCCATATAGTGAAGATCCCTGCTTTTGCAACCCCCTCCTTTTGCAAAATCCCCCCTTTTGCAAAAGATTTCGACTGCCTGCATTCCCTCTGGTGGTAATTCCTGCAACCTGCAATTTGCAACGTTAACGGCCCGGATTTGCAAAAGTAGGGGTCGAATTTGGTGGGGCGGGCACTCTTATACCCGTATACCGGGGTCTGATAGCTCCAGGGACCCACTTTCTAGTACCTCTAACTATTACTGAGTAGCTAGAAGACTCTTACCTGGTCTGTGCTCCTGTCCTCCCTTTTGCAAACCCCCCTCTTTTGCAAAAAATCTGGGCTGCCGGCATTAGTTGCAAAAGCAGGGGTTCTTACTGTAGTTGATGCTATCTGTTTGTCCTGCGGGCTGTCGGTTGGTTGTCAGTTCTACTTCGGTTCCGGCCCAACAACTCTCATCTGACCTATAGTTCACAGTGATATCGTGTCAGGAGCACATGGTACAACATTCATCAACTTTGGTGATTGCGGGCGTGTCCTCGCCCTTGCGAAAATTCTGTTCCGATTCAGCCGGCCACAGAAAGGTGTGGTAGCCCATTTGGGGGCAAGCTGTTCCGTACCAAACTTCACAAAATGTGGTTCGAAAAGGGACTGGTACCCATATTGGTTATCAAGACACTCAATTGGTTAGCATGGCATTTTGTTGGTGATTGCTCATGAAAATCCGAGCAGTTTCACACGAAACTAGTACAGTTCGCTCACCTCTTTGTGTGAACTTGCTGGATGTAGACATAATTCACCAGGTTTTCTTTCATTTCTTCCCCCCCCGCGATGAGCGATGATACTTACAGCGCAAGGGGTTCTTACAAGCGTCCGGCCATAAAGACTAACGCTAGATAATGTGCAGGGGTCACATGAACAAGTGATGATCCTCTTGATAGTTGATTAGCAAGGTGCTTACAACCCGCTGGTGTGATACCACGGATAATCTATCTTTCTCGGTGAGTCTATTGGGCTGATCTTATAATCAATTTTCATTTTTCGAGCTCACCAGGATGAATTGGCAGTTGCATTGACGTGTGTAGGTCTGCTTGAGCCTCTTGTTCATTAACGAATCATCACGGCTGACACTGGCAAAAGGTCTCAGTTCTAGTTGATCTAGTGCGAACGCACATCCAAGTTGCAAGGCTGATGTAGGGTTTGTGAACTTCCCCTGTTGGCGGTACCGCCGACTATGAACATCAGTGAATGATCCAGTCACTGGAGAGTTGGCTTAACTGACCGACGGCCCGAGAAAAGCTATCTACAGTAGGATATCCGTTAGCTGAATTCAAATCCATACATGCCGTCCCCAAGAAAGTGATTGAATGACAGGTCACCTAATCGAGCCTAATTTTCTGTATGTGAAACAGATTGGGTATCGAGTTTTGGATGATGTTCTTCACACCCGTTCCTTCACACTGAAAAGTTTCAGAAAGACGAACTCATATGAAGTCAAGCAAAGACGATCTTGCATCCCGATATCCATCTCACCACTTGGCACGATAGAATAAAGTGCTGTCCGCATAATGTATGTGGTCAGACAATGAACAGCATCGACAGTCTTGGGAATCAAAGGTTTACAGATGTAGCATACGCTTGTTCAGTCAACGTTTGCCTGTCCTATTCCTGGGATATTCTTATGACACCCACGTCGGTCAACCGAGTGTACCCGAAGAGGAGTTTGTCCGAGAGTAACGATTTCCAAATTCATCCTCTCACAACCATTGAAGCTGCTCGACGACTGGGCCTGAGCTCAACGACCGGTTTCATCAGCGGCCGTCTATGAGCACTCGATAGCATCCCAAGTGCATTGCGCAGTGAAGGCAGACATGTCATTGTCTTGGGTGACATCTGCTCTCGAGCTAGCCCTTTCCTAGCAAAATCCGAGTTAGCAAGTTGCCCATATTATATGCAAGCGACGCCGAAGTTCGGGCCTAAGACATCTCAATAGCGTCCAGCGAGAGGCACTCGAGATGTAAACCCTAGTCGATAATCTGCTTGCTAATGAAGCCGATGATGGGCGCGGGCGGCTACTATCTTGCGATGTCTTTGCATGCTCCTTCAGCAGACCGACACGGCTTGCGCCCCAACAATCACCGGTGCTCGTGATGGCTCCTCGCTAAAAGCCGACCTAAACCCGCAAGTAGTAGTGGTTCCCGCTTGTTGATCACACTAGATCACCTCGAAGTCATGTTGGCGAGCTGAGACCACCTAGGGCTGCACCGCAACAGAGCAACTAGACAGCACAATCATGCAATTCCTTGCCAGAATGGATTAAGTTAGCAATGGGTCTTAGACGGTCCACTTCTAACCGTTGAGAAAGTTGAAATAGGTGGAGGTAGTAATCCTTTGTTTGTAGCTATATCCCGTTGCAGTAGATGCCTCGCATCGATGCCGAACAAAATAAAAGGGATGGATACCTCTAGATATCCAGCGAAACTCGTACGCAGTAGACTCCGGAGCCGGAGGTGCCTGCCCGGCTGCGACGTAGAGGTACATTGTAGGCATTTGGATTGCTCGCAACAGGCACTGCAGTTGCGAATCCTTAGAGCTAGAGGTACTGTGTACCTACCCCTACTGTGCAGTGTAATGTCGTCGGGTATAGAGCGCAGGTGCCCACTGGGGCGGGCAGCCCACCGCACAGGACTCCAGTTCCATGTCAAGTGGA